TACTCAACAAAATTTGGATACTTTATATATATTTGTTTTGTATATGGAGTTTTTTTTTAAGTAAGTTTATTTTTTGTTGTTAGGAGGGGTGTGACATCACCTATATATAGCATTAAATGCCACTAGTGTGCTCTATGTAGGTGATATCACACCTCATGTGAATGATGTCATACCCTTCCTAATGATAAAAAAGACCCTATTAAAAAATATTTCATATACAAAATAAGGGTATATAAATGTCAAAAACTTATTGAGTACAAAGATAAACTAGTGGAAACAAATTATCACAAATATACATTAATTTTCGCGAAAAAAAGCCCTTAACTTTCATAAACCCTGTCCATACTCTTTTTCCACATTTGTGACATTTTTTTACCAAAGTAACCTTCACGGTAGTCGTATTACCGTGAATCACCATTACGGTACTTTAAGTACCGTAATCTTTAGCGCATTTTATACGGTACTTTTGATACCATAAAGTCTCCAACCTTTGTTACGGTACTGAAATTACCGTAATAATTTCACGCTTATATTATGGTAGTAAATGTACTGTAACTTTGTGGGGTGGTTATACATCATAAAAACAATCGTATTTATTTCTAAACTTCTCCCACCCTTTTCACAATTTTTTTATCATAAAACCCTATATCTTCCCATCCCGCTCTCTCTAACCCCATGTCCCTCTTCCTTTGCCTCTTTTCTCATATCTCTCTCTCTTCGTTTGCCTCTCCTCTCTCTCTTTCTCTCTCTCTCTCTCTCTCTCTCTCCCCTTTACCCTCTTCATTATGTCTTGTCTATTTTCTATCTTCTCGTCTATTTCTCAATCTCTTAACGAGGTCTCTGAGAGCTATTTCCCAAATCGTGAGTATCAAATATACACACCAATTCAGGCTTTTAATATTACTTCATTTGGATTGGCGATGGAAATATTTAATAAAAAATATTATGTTGTTTTTTTTATAGTACTTAATGTAGTTGGGTTGGTCACTGTAAATTTTTTTGATTAAAATATTGCATAAATAATTTTAAGATTTGTATTTATGTTGTGGCATCTGTGTTGTAATCTAATGTCTCTCTATAATGCAACCTCCTCATTATATATAAGTATTTTGAAACTTCTCAAGAGTATTTTTTATTTGTTTTCATCTTAAATATATCTGCAGTGATTGAACTTGTACGCAACAATAATGGGTGCCAACAAAGTGAAAATCGTTTTACACTTTGGTGGTTTGATTTTGGCCCAAAAGGTGCTGCTTAAAGAATCCGTGTTTGATCCAAAAACATAGATTTTTTTTTTATCAATTTACTGGTCATTTTTTATCAAATTGAGTTGTGGATTTTGATCATCAATGCTTAATCTCTCAAATAAAATAGGTATGTTTATTTATGATTGACTAAATGTTTTTATATGAATTTTTTTGTTGCACCACATAATGAAAATTTCATAGATCCGAAATTTATGCCATTTTTCAATTAAATTAAAAATACTGAATATTTTTTTATAAGATTTGGTGTGTTTGAAAGATGTTCGAAGCCTTAACAATGCATGTATGTTGATTTGTTCGATTATGCAAACATTGAGGGTCGTTTCTTGCTCAAAATATTGCTCGATTTTAGGGGTTTTTGAAAAAATCGATTTCTCTAAAAACAATATTTTGTTTAATAAATTTATGTTTTTTGATGAATATGGGAAGTTTTTTTCTATTTTGCTTAATAAAATCATTTTTAATAGAATTATTATTTTTTTAATAAAATTATGCTTTTTGATGAATATGGGAAGTGTTTTTCTATTTTGGTTAATAAAATTATTCTTTTTGATAAAATTATTTTTTTGATGAAATTGATTCTTCTTTTTGATAAGTGCATGATAATGTTGCCAGATCTTTTGCTCGATTTTTTTTAATTATGTTTTTTAAGTGCTTGATATAGTTATATTTGTAATAATGGAAATGGGACATTTTGTCTTTTTAATTGCATGCAAAAAAATTTGGTTGCCTTATGTTCAATGAAACACTACTACATAATCTTGTATGTGCTCCGTTCTTTTCTTTTTTCTTTTTTCTTTTCATTGTCTATCAAGGTTTTTGGAATGTTATGGAAAGAGTCTTTAAAAGATCAGCAGATTTTTAAAAAATCGTCCGACTAACTCGAAATTGGTCACTGGCCGATCCTGATCTGGCCCGATTCCAGAGAGAGATAGTTTTACAAAGGTGATCTTAATTTCAAATCGTCCCTCACATTTGACAATATGGGTTTGGTCATTAATAGCAAAATACACCCAAGAAATCTAGGTTAATCTATCGAATGGAACCCATTTTTGGAGGGTCGAACTTGAAAAGTGCCTTTACTAGAATTGTTTTAATTTTTGGGTATTTTTGAGCCAGTTAAAAAAAATAAAAAATCCGCCAGACCGGTTAGTCCGGTTAACCGCCTGGTTAGTTCAGTTCTGGTTCTAATCGCTCTAGGCTCCATGTCCGGTTAACCGTTCCGGTTCGATTTTGCGAACAATGTATATCAAACAGACCTATTGATTATGACTCCACTGAATATCGACCACCAACAGTGCCCGATAATGGTCCATCAAGATTGGCCATGTAAGAAGTTTGCAATGAAATTCATTATATTTTTTTATTTTTCAATATTTTGTTATGGGTTAGGATAATTCTCACTTATTCTTCAAATTTTTTTTCGACAACGGTTCCCGACCAGAGTAAGTAGTTTAGAGTGAATGTGCTTCTAGCATAGGCGTAGAAGATGAGCATGATTCAGAAATTGAACGACATATCGACGATATCGATCGGATAGAAAGGCCTTTCAAGATTAACCGTTACGAAGTTGCACTTCAATGGTCAGGATTTTGATGACGTATTAGCATGTTGTAATCTCCTTATTGATTATGTCATATCACAAAACTTCAATATGAAGTTTATAAAAAAGCGAGGAGATAAGTGTATGGGCGAGGTGTGCTACAGATAGATGTTCATGACAAGTGCATTGTTGGAGGGTTAATACAATAAACTTCTTCATGGTGAAGAACTTTGTAAACGTGCACTCATGTGCCGGCACAATAGGTATGGTTCATCAGCCTTTTGCCTGAAGCTATTGGGTGGCAAGCAATGAGCAAAGACCGTTTGAATGATATGTCCAATCTAACACCTGTAGATGTTATTAATGATATACAATGTGATCACAGTATGATACTATCTTACCAACAAGCATGACGGGGTTAAGAGGTTGCATAAAAGGTAAATGAGGGTTCTTAATTGAAGGCACACAAAGATCTTGCTAAGTACCATCATAAGATCCGAATCACTGACTCTAGAACCATAACGGTTATTCAAACAGATGATCATGATAGGTTTGAGCGTATGTTTATAGGCAATCGTCCATGTTAGAGGGTTGGAGAAAAAGAGATTCATGGTGGCTTGGAGAGCTTACACTGTTTAAACTACCGTATAAAAATGCCTACGTATTACGGTACTTAAAGTATTGTATAAAATGCACTAAATATTACGGTACTTAAAGTACAGTAACAGTATCGATGGTAATACGACTACTGTGAAGGTTATTTTTGTCCAAAAAACTTTAAAATGAGAAAAAAAAGACGTAGGCAAAGTTTACGAAAGTTCGGAGTTTTTTTTTCAATTATTCTTAAATTAAGGTATATTTACGATAATTGTAATACGACACCATGAAGATTATTTTGGTAAAAAAATTGCAAAAAATGAGGAAAAATAGTGTACATGAGGTTTATGAAAGTTAAGGGTTTTTTTTTTCCAATAAGATGAAAATTAATATATATTTGTGATAATTTTCCTAAATTAAACCCATAATAATTTATGAGATTGAACAAAGATTTTTTAATTTATGTAGGGTGAAGATCTAAGTTTTGAATAACTCAAAATACAATTTCTTTAAAAACATAATTAATTAGTTGAACAACATTGGAGCATACCATGAAAATTGCTCCCAAGATTAAAGCTTATGGTAAAAATATTTTTTTTGAACCCCAAAGTTTAGGGGTGTAGCCTTCATAATCCAATATCTAACCTCAAAAAGAAAAATAAAAAAATAAAAAAAAAGAAAAAAGAAAAGAAAAAATTAACGTTTCAAGATTGACCAGAAAGCCTCCAATTTTTGAAAGGCAAGATCTAGGTACCGAAGAACTTAAAATACATTGTTTTAATGGAAATAATCATTTGATGATACCTATATAAATCCATATTTGCTGATCGACCTCCCTAATTACTCGCTTGCCCTTGGGAATTTGTACACTATGCTCTACATTAAGGAAAAAGTTTTTATAGAGCTGAGGTTCTTAACAATCAAATTAGTGCCCACCTCAAAAACTTCACCAGAAGAGATTGTTTTGATGTCAAATATCCTCAAATTGATAACATCGACATCAAGATGCATGGACATGAGAAAAAAAAATAGATTTTAAGTTTTAGAAATAATGCATATTGTAACACATTTTTGAATCGTCAATTTTCAAGTTTTTATAGATATGCTCGATCTACACTATTTTTTAAACTTTTAAATTTTATAATTAAAGATGAAATATATTTTATGGCTTTTACAAAGACGTTCGGTAGGACCTGGTTTCTATGAGGCCAAGTTCACATATGTAAAAATGCGGGCCTCCTAATAAATTTATTTTTGAAATGGATTTTGAGACTAAATTTTTAAGGATATGTAATTTCATGGAGATCATGAATATGAATAAATAAATAAATTTTTAAAATTAAAAATAATAATTATAATAATAAAATATTTAAACAATAAATTTTCAACTTTTTTAAATAGAACATTTACTTGCATCCATCTTTAAAATAGATACATAGAAATACGGTCCAACCCGCATGAAACAATTTTTCTTTTCGATATTAAAACAACATTCCTCGACACGATTTAAAGGTGCGCTTTACTTTGATTGTTGCCGCGGCTCAATATAAACCGCACTCACGTGGATTCCAAACTTTAGGGCATGCAATGTTCATTTACTCCCTCGGGAGCATTCTGGCTCCATGCTCCCTTCCTTTATTTGTTTCCCATTTCTCTGTTTTCAGTCATTCAGGAATTCTGAAAGCCAACAAAGTTCAGGAGAAGAGGAAGAAGCTCTCGCTCTAATGGCTTCTTCTTCTTCTCCTCCTCGAAACTCAGAGGGTAATGCTAATAAGGAGAGGAATCGAACATTTGATGCGAAGACGAGGACCATGTGCTGGGAGAAGGCGGACGTCGTCCCCGGAAGGCACCCGGAGAGGTGGCGGAAAGATGCGGCCGGCAACGTCCTGTGCAAGCGGTTCTGGAATTGTACTGGATGCCTCTGCTATGAATATGACCATATAATCCCCTTCTCCAAAGGTCACATAGATTTACCATTGTGATTGTGAGTTGTTTTTTTGGTTTTTGGTTTTTTGTTTTTGTTTTTTTTTGTTTCTTTGTTTTTTTTTCAATTTTTTATGTTTTGGAATTTTAGCTCAACAGTTTGGCTTTCAAGTTGTGTTCTTTTTGTTTTGCAAATTTAGCTGAATACATAAGCTTTAATAGTAAATTCCGTTTTGTTTTTCTCCAAAGTTTAGCTAAGTGATTTAACTTTAAATGCAAATTAGGTTTAATAGGCTAGCTTCGATGGCTACTTCGGGTTATTTTAAATTTTTTGTGTGTTTTTATTCTAGCCTGTTAGTTTTTTTTGCTGTAGTGCTACATGATATCTGTTATGAATATATGACATTTTCTATGAATATGATCACATTATCTCCTTGTCCAAAGTTCAGATACTTCTATATTATTTGCCTATGAATGCAAGATCCTTTTTTTTTTCTTGGGTAAATTTAACTGATTGCAAAGTGGGTTTTTTTGTTGTGCAAATTAACTCAATGAGGTTAGTTCTAATTGCAATTTTGGGTTTTTGTTTTTTGCATTTTTGGCATTGATTTTAGCTATTTAGTCTTCTTCTTTAGTGCTACGAGCATGATCACAAAATCCCCTTCTCCAAAGGTCACATATTTCTCTATCTTTTAGCTAAGATTGCGAGTTGGATTCTTTTTCTTTTGCAAATTTACCTTTAATTTCCCAATAAGATCTTTTTGGCAAATTAATCTCAATATGGTTAGCTTTGGTTGCAAATTTCTTGGAAATCTGTGATTTTTTCCATCTGATTCTGATTATTGTAATTTTGTGTGTGTGTGTTTTTCTTTACTTTGTTTTTGGGTATTTCTGCTTTGAATTTGCCTCAATTCTGAATGGTCTTGTATGTGGCCTTTGCAATTTAGCTTGGTTCTTTATGTTTTGCTTCTTTCTTTTGATCCTGGTTGTTTTGGGTGTTTGTGCTGCAAATTTGACCTCGTGATCTCTTTCTCATAGGTGTTTTTTTTTTTTGCCTTGTTCATATCTCTAATTCAATCATGACATTATATTTTGTTCTTATTTTCTTAATGCATTTTTATGTATTCCTTAGTTCTCTGCAGAAGATTCTGCACTTTTTTTCCTCTCTACTTTTTTTTTATTGAACTTACCCAGGAAAATTTGAATTTCATGTTGGTCCTCTAATGGATGGAGCCACAAATATTGGATTTGATAGTGTATTACCTCTACTTTTCCTTTTTTTTTTTGCCCATGGCTTATAAGCCCCTTTTACCTTGAGAACAAAAGAAAAGAAAAAAGTCAAATCTAAATTCCCAACCTTTATTAACCATTCAATTTAGAATTTTGTTTAAGATTTTGAAATTCAGAACTGTTTTGGCAGGAAGTGAAACTTAAATTTAGATTCATTTATACTGTGAAGTGCATTTGAAATGGTATACTTTTGATTAGAGATTGAACTTGGGCTTGATTGGTTGTTGTTGATTGCAACACTACCTCCCAGGTTCCTTAAATTGAACTTACCCATGAAAACTTGAATTTCTGGTTGGTTCTTTTATGGATCGAGCCACAAATATGGGATTTGATACACTTTTACCTCTAGTTTTCCATTTTCCTTTTCGCCCTTCCGGTGAAGATGGCTTATAAGTCCTTTTTCCCTTGAGGGGGGAAAAAAAAGAAAAGGAAAAAGAAAAAAGTTAGTGTAAATGCTCAAACCTTTATTGATCATTCAATTTAGAATTTTTGTTTGAGATTTTGAAAATCAGAACTGTTTGACAGTAGCTGAAACCTAAATTTGAGATTCATTTATGCTGTAAAATGCATGTAAAATTATTTGCCTTTGATTAGGGATTGAGTTTGGGTTTGATTGGTTGTTCATGAATGCAACAGACCTCCCGGGTTCAATTGCTACGGCTGAACTACCCCACCATACCCCCAAAAAAAAAAAAAAAATCTTTTGATAATTTGATTAGTGTCTTTCAAAAATTTGTGTGGAATGTAGTTCAAAAAATTTAGGGAAAAAATACCATTTTGAAAAGATTTTACTAAAGAATTATCATAGTGAGGAGCATTGAGCTGAATTTTGGTAATATTTCCTCTGAAGTTAAGTTACTTGTGGCCAATATTGGGGTATATTGTCCACCGTTTGGTTGCCTGCTCCATTTTGTGATTCAGCCCCATAATTGAGTTGAGCCTAAAATCATGGAATGCTTAAGTTATGTCCAAAACCATGATTTTGAAAGTCATAGCCGCTAACTACTTTTGGGAATTTCTTTAGCTTGATTTCTGAGTAAATTATAGCTACAAGTACAAAAGAAGTGAATAAAGATTCGGAAAAGTGGCTGCATTTGATGAAACATCATCTGATTTATGGTTATAAGTATGGGCATAGGATTTTGACCCTTCATTGAAAATAGATTATTTTGTAAAGGCATGTTTGATTCACATGAAAATATTTTCACGTGAAAGAATTCTCTCATGTGGTTAGGTGTGAGAATAGTTTCACAGCAATTGGTCTCAGTGCATCTTTTCGCACCAATTAATAGCTAATTGGTGCGAAAATATTCCCACACCTAACTACATAAAGGAATTTTTTACTTGAAAAAATTTCGTGAAAATATTATATTTTCATGCCAACCAAACGTGCCCTAAGATTCTTCTTTTCCAGTCACATACCATGTATTGGCTAATCACTATTACTTAAATCCCAATTATTAGCCATCAAAACAAGGAAAATTGAACATATTTGAAGAAAAACTGTTCAAATTGTCTTTTGTATACCTTGTCCTACTTTTACTTTTTGATGGTAGAGCCCATGATATGAAGTACTATAAGTTCAATGATGTATTGTGAGAAAGGGGTTCAAACTTTAAAGATTTTATAGCTAATGGACTCTTACTTATGCTAGGAAGGTCAACAATTGAGGCCATTTTCCTACTTAGCAAATTATTGAGAAGTTCCGGGAGAAGGGAAAAGACTTCCACATGGTCTTTATAGATTTAGAGAAAGCTTATGATCGGGTACTTAGTAATAATAGAAGTAGAAATGAGGAAGTAGTTTAGATTGATGACCAAGAAATACCTAAACGAGAGTATTTTTGTTATCTTAGGTCTATAATTTAGGAAAATAGATAGATTGAATAAGATGTCGCACATGGAACTAGAGTTGGGTGGGCAAAGTGGAGATGTGCAACTGGAGTTTATGTGATCGTTGCATACCAATGAAGCCGAAGGGAAAGTTCTATAGGGCAATTGTGAGACCAACTTTGCTTTATGTGAGAATGTTGGGCTGTTAAGAAAAAATATAGCCATAGGATGAAGTAGCAAAAATGAGAACGTTGGGATGGATGAGTGGCAAGACAAGAAAGGATGGAATTTGGAATGAATATACTCGAGGGAATTTAAAGGTGGCTCCAATAAGTGACAAGATGAGAGAAAGTAGACTTAGGCGTGCTGGCCATGTGCAGCGTAGACTCCATATAGCACCACTTAGGAGGTGCAAGCTGGTTCAAACGGAACGTTCTAAAAGGGTAAGGAGAAGGCCCGAAAGGTCATGGATGAAAGTAACGAGAAAAGATATAGGGACTTATGATCTTACTAAAGGTATGACCCTTTGATAAAACAGAATAGCGTAATAGGATTCGTGTAGCTGACCCTAAATAGTTGGGATAAGGCTCTGATAATAATCATGATGATGGTAATAGCTAATGGACTCCTAAGAATTGGACCCATTTAATCTATAGATTGTAGTGAAGAGGTTAAAATTCAGCCAAAGATGTGTCTTAGTAGTTAGGCTGGTGTGATGCTAGAGGTGAATTCTCATGGAAGCTCAACATAACCATTGTCATCCCCTGATATAAGGGCATATATATTTTGTTATGTTGCAATTTGCGCTACTCATTGTTGACAGAGGTCCTCCAATTGTGATAAGAAGTGACATCAGAGCATTGCCATTCCCTTGTAGGCTTTCGGCATCATGTTAGATACTTGAGGAATTGGATGTTACTTTCCATCATATCAAATAATGGAGGCTAACATGTCCATTAATTTGGCTACCTTTTAGCTCTGATTTCAACTCTTTGATGTAATTGTACTTTGTAATCCTAAGCATAAAGGACCTGATAAATAATGTGGTTACTTTTGAGAATAAGATTTGCTTTTGTGGGAAAATGTAGAAACACTTGACCTTCCTCATGCTACTTAGTTCTTGTTCGTACTATTAGGGGCATGTTAATTCTGTTTTATCCATTTTCCCCAGTTTCCTTTGGAGAGTTTGGATTTGATATGGATGCTGAATTCAACTTGGTAATTGGCTATTCTGCAGGCGGGAAATCCACAGTGGAGAACTGCCAGATTCTTCAGGCCAGAGTGAACAGACTGAAATCAGATAAAGATGGGCTAGAGAAAACTGAATTGGCTAGCTTCTCATGTGATGTCAAGTTCACTGGTATGTATACTTAACAACAAATTTATACTTAAAACTGACTAGATTTCTCGCTCATTGAATTTCTTTTTGGGGTGTATCGTGTTATTTTTCCTTCTATCTAACTTCTTGTGGTACAATGCGATAAACAAACTCCTGCAATGGCTTTCTTGTCTGCTAAAAGTCTCTTGAATCTTGGCTGTAAAATGTAATAATTGGAAACTTCTGATATCCTTGCTTTGTGATTGGTATGTGGCTTGTGGAAATTTATTCGCGATCAAATTCTGCATCGAGCTCTCTCAAGAGATTGATTTGATCTCATTTAAGTCAATATTTAAGACGAATGTGTGAATTATATATTTTTGTTACTAGTTAGACCTGGCAATGCTGACATTTCTTTCTAAGAATCAATACCTTATTAGAGGGTGTTATTAATGTAAATGGCATTTCGATATCTTGGATCGATAATCCATGAGAAATGAGAGATTAAAGACGATGTTTCTCATAGAATTGGAGCTAGTTGATAAAGAGAAAATGTGCTTCTGGAGTCTTATGTGATTCGTCGCATACCGATGAAACTAAAAGGGAAGTTCTATAGGATGTCTGTAAGACCAGCCATGCTTTATTAGACGGAATATTAAGCGGTCAAGAAACAACAAATCCATAGATTGAGTGTAGCTAAGATGAGGATGTTGAGATATATGAGTGGCAAGACAAGGATGGATAGAATTCAGAAATATATTTCAAGGGAACTTAGGGGTAGCTACAATAGGTGATAAAATGAGGGAAAGTAGAACTTAGGTGGTCTAGTCGTGTATATTGTCACCCTAGAGTCTACCTAGAACAACACCAGTTAGGAGAGGTGATTTGGTTCAAGTGGAAGGCTCTAAGAGGGTAAGGGGAAGGATCTAAGGACATGGATAGAAGTAGTGAGAAAATACATGATAATTTATGGTCTGACTAAGGTGGCCCTTGATAGAGCGGAATGTCAAAACATGATACGTGTAGCCGACCCCAAATAGTTGGGATAAGGCTTGGATGACGATGATAAATGCAAATAGACTTTAGGTTATTTCCAGATCTTAAATTAAGAAGCCTCTCTCTCCTAAACAGGAAATATATATGGGGGGCTAATAGAAATGTTTTTCTTGCTGCGGATTTATAGGGAGATATTGGCTTCTATTACTTTCTTCTACAGATCTTCAATCATAAAGCTTTAAGTAGGCCTTATATAGCTTTTGGTGATTTTGAAGACATTTGTTTTAGTATATACTGCAAATATATTTATGCAGCCTTTCTAATTAGGGAGTTTAGAAGTTTAGTATATTCATAATTTCTTTTGGCCTGGTTATGTTGACTTGATTTTTCAAGATATTTTTAGCTATTGGGCTTTTGTGTTGTCTATGCTGCAATAAACAGAACTTGTTGTCATGTAAGTCTGAATTAGTATCAAGGATGGGACGCGTTTGAAGCCTTGATGTTGATTGTAGATCTTCTGTACATAGGAACACTTTATTTACCCTTGCTTGAGAGGAAAACCGATGGTGCAGTTAGAGTTTAGGTTCTTCCTTTTCCTAGGTTGTCTTTTCTTGTAAAGATATACTCTTCATGTAGTGTGTATAAAGTATTAGACCAAATAGGTCACCCAGTGTTGGTCCTTAATGACATTTAAAAAAAAAAAAAGACATAGGGTTGAGATGAACCATTGTTGCACTTGAAAGTCTGTAATTGTCTGTGGTAGAATACCAATTCGAGTTCACGTCCATTGTCGAGGACCAACAGTGATGGCCCTTTGTGTATGGTATATCATCTGCAATTCTGTGTGTTAACCTGTTCTTTTATGGTAATGTCTACAATACACATGTTTAACTTCGATACAAACAGGTTACAATCACCCCTAGCTATTAGCTAGGAAATCGGGCGCTGGGTTTGCACCATCGACCACGCTCGTTGGACCAGGTCCTTCATTTTACATTGGATGGTTGGGGTGTTTGTGACCTTTGTGTATGGAAGGTAATTGTTTCATTATGAAAGGTAATGGTTTCATTGTATAAAATCTCTTGTTTTATGGATCTTTGGTTGATCAGTTTGTGGTTCGTGGTCCAGGACCCTTGTGTGGCACATATCATACGTTCTAGAGAATTATGAGATTGTGAAGTGAGGATTTGGAAAGCATATAGTGTTGGTGATGCAATCCAGGTTGCAGATATATTGACAAGGAGTTGGTATTGATAAAGTGATATCAAGAACATAGTTGCCCTTTTCTTAGGTTGAGCCTATCAGTATTAGTATTTTATAAATCCATTCTTCAGGTTTTTTTTAATAATCAAGAGATTTTATTTAGGAATTGTTTTTGGCGAGAGTGTTGACTCATGAGCCTGCCCTCTGGTTTTCAAGGTTTTAGGATTCCAAACGCATACCTCATCTATCCTCCTCAAATCCATGAATTTGGAACTCCAAAAACGGTACAGATCTAATGATCTTAGAAGAACTGAAATAAACAGCATAAAAGAACATGATACAATATCAACCATTTTTAGAACTCAAAATTCTTTTCTTTTTTTTGCCCCCATATTCATGATTGTGGCAGTCACAATGATAGACCTGTAGTTTTGGATCCAAATTCCATCTCCAGAATGGACCTTGGAAGGATGGACTAACTACAGTAGGTCTGTTCTAAGACCCATCTAAACCTTACCCTTTTATTAATTATTACAGGTCCATTACTTATCTGTCCTTTCAGTTTGTCTTGATAGTTTTGATACATGTGCACATATGGAAGCAAGTTTGATTTCATATACTTCTGTATGTCAAAGTGTATTAGCTCTTTTAAATTTTCTTAAGCAGCCTCAACTGATGAATGATTGCAGTACAGTGAAGCACTTAGTTTGCAACTTGGTTCTTTGGGATAGCATGCTGTGGGGCCATTACCTTTTGCACACACAGGTCACAGTCACGTCAAGCCGTCTGACGTAACACCAGATGACTGGATTGTGCCATTTCTTTGCCCAAAATTCGAAGGAAATTCTTTTCGGACTGCATGGTCAATAGTACATGACCAGCCTCCTGGTTTCACATCTGACAGCCAAAATGATTGTGACTTTTTTATACCAATGCTGAAGAGTCTTATAGTATATTTGCCCTTGTACTTTTGTGTATTGTAGTGTTCTTATTTTAGTGGAAATGGTTGGAAATTTATTTAGATAGAGAATTGGATGTGATTGAGATGGCTGTTTATGGGGATGTCATCCGACCGGAGCTGCAATGTCGATGTAGAACCGTTGCAGAGATGCTTGGCCAATATAAGTTGAAGAGTCCAATGACACCTGCTTGTGAATTGCCCTACAAAGAAGCATAGTCATCCCCCAAATTCAAGTTCTCTCCCCCTCAATGCTGGAGCGGTGAGTTTATGATTCAAGTTCAGTGGAATCTCCTTATTCGTTATGCTGTTGAGGAATGAGGATATTCCTATGCTGTTCTCCTAAATGAAAACTCTCTCTCTCTTTCTCTCTCAGTCGCACAACAATTGGTCTCTGTTTGATTTATCATCAGCTATCTACATTACTCTCTCTCTCATACACACACAAGAATTGAAGTCTCTCTCTTTGGTTAATTTGGAATATTCTCTCTCTCTCTCTCTCTCCACCCCCTCCCCCCTTTTTTTCTCAAAAGACTGAAGCAGATTCAGTCACTTAGATGAGGCAGCAAGATCCCAGTTTTTAAAACTTGTGGGGCTGAACTGTTTCATTCTCATCCTTCAAATGGATGCTTGTTTGTTTGCAAGATTGTTACTCAAACTAGTGAAATTTTTTCACTCTGTAACCTTTAAAATTTGGTAGTGATGTGGGTTCTGGAGAGAAACCTCCTAGAAACCTTGTGTTTCATTTTTTCACATAAAAGTGGAGTATTAAAATTATTGGATGATTGTTGATTCGTTGACTCTGTTCATTTTGTAAGGATTAACATAATTATTTTGAGATTTCATGATAGTCTAGAATCTTGGACCTTTGAATGCATGAGATGAATTTTTTTTTTTGAAATCAGATGAGTTTCAATGTTCTTAATTGATGATGAACCTACTTGGGTCATCAGAGAGAGATTGTGTCAGGGATCGTGGCTGGATGACATGGGTTAGAGAGAGAGAAAGAGAGAGAGTGTGTGTTAGGGGATCGTGGCTGGAATTTATGGGTTTGAAGTCGAAAAAGAATAAATGGGAGACAGCTAGGCTTAGTGGGTAGGTTGCATGGGCCAGTGCAGTGCGTGTGGGGGAAGAGAGCATGGTTTGAAAGAGAGGGACAGGTATGCGTAGAGGTTAGGGACACAAGGACCAACAGACAGGATCAGGTGTATTTATTGACCCTGCCTATATGCACAGAGAAGAGTGAAATAAAAATGAGAGGTTTTGGAGCTGGAAACAGGCCGGACCAGTCAGGGCTCTAATCATCTTAGGATGTATCGAGTTTCGCCCCCACCTTGATCGGGTCATGAGATATTGGCCCAATTCGCCTCGGTTCTTTTCAGGTTGGGTGGGGCCAAAGAAAATATAAAAGAAGAAAACGCCAAAAAAAAAAAAGATTGGGCTCGGCTGGGCTGAACCTGCCACCTTTGGCCTAACCAAATTTCTTCCGGGCCCTAACCATGGAGCCCTTGGGCACATAGACCTAAACTTTTTAGGGCGGGCAGGCGGGCCGACGTGGCCCATAGCGGGCCTTAAATTTGTGGTTTGGGAGAGAGATGTACTCCTATGATTTGGGGTAGAGAGAGAGGAGCGTATTTCTTGTGGATTGCGGCACATTGAAATGAGACGTTGAAAAGAGGGTTGCGTGCAAAATTTAGAGAGAGAAAAGGTGTGTAAAGGATTGATTGCGTGTTCAAATGACGTGGTCTGTCACTTCTCTCTCCAACTTCTCCAGGAATGCCTCTCACGCTTCTTCCTAAGCCCTTCTATAAATATATTATTAAATAATACCCAATTATTAATATCGATTTAAAAATAACTATAAAATTATAAAAGGTCAATTGAATTCTTAAAAATAATTATTTAAAAACAATATTTTTGCGTCCCCCATTTCCATTTGCCCTCTGCCCTTGTGCACTCGGCGCTCAACTTTGTCTAGACTTGCACTTGTAGATGTCGAATTTGCCCTTGGCTTTTTGAGAAAATAACATGTGTCCTCCGTCATGCCTAGTGTGAGATCTTGATATGGATCAGGGTTTCAAACACAAATCTGGATCATAATTGGATTAGGAATTGGTGGGAGTGGTTTTGTTCCAATGTAGGAAAAATTGGGCGGTTCAAATTCTAAATGCTTGGCTAGCCCGGTTGAATTGGAACCGGCCTGCTGTTCTCGATTTTGGTCGGTTTTGGTGAACTGATCGGATAGTTTAAAAAAAAGTATGTAAAATCCCAAAAAACAAGGAATTTTGGTTGTAATGTATTTTTTTAATGTTTTTCATTATTTTGGAAATGATTGGAAATTGTTTTAGCAAATAATATGTTTTTTTTTACATTTTCTCATTTTTTTAAAAAAAATTCAAAATATCCTTGGGCACAAATAGATTCTTTAAAATCTAAATTTTTTCATTAATTTTCAACTTGTTTTGTTTAATCATGTTTTAAATATATTTTTTATATTTTATTATTATCAATTTTTTTGTATTTTTTGTCGAGCGTGGCCTTAATGAAGAGAGTAATCAATTCATAAGATTCAAGTGTGCCACGCAAGAGCCATGAAGTGAGACAATTATCTTAGGTAAATTCATTTTATTTCATAGCGATGACAGTTTTTATTAATAATCTAGTAAAAGCAATTTATTATTATTGCGATAAAAACTTTCGTGAGGAATGGGCTACGGCCACGATGGCAGGCTGCCAAAACTGGACATTTTGGGTTCCATTCTTATTATAGGTAGATGACTTCTTTCTTGTTGAATTGCCCCCAAAATAAGAAAGTTTTTTTTTTATGATAAGACTATATATAAACCTAAAAAGAAAATTAATAAGACAATATATAAACCTAAAAAGAAAATTATTAATCATTTCAAATTGAAGTGAACCATGTCACTTTCAGCTCTAAATCTCCACAGGGCAGATGAGAAGAAATTTGCAAGTAGTGGATGATTGGACATGTGAATTAGAGCAGTTACATATGCTTATATAAAAAGACCATTTATTTTGAACATTAGGACGTTACAATTATTCTCAACCATTGGATTTCATAAAAAATTGGCATCCATTTTTAAAAAAAAATTTGTTTGGATTTATTGACATTTATGTGAATTGTTTATCCTTTATAATTTGAATTCATGCTTAGTAGTTTTAATACAAATATAATGAATAATATATATGAAGTTCTAAGTATTTGATAAACTCCCAATTAAAGAGACAAATACGATGATAATATTTTGACCAAACTTCCTAATAACATGCCAATAACAATAATGAATTGTATACTATAAGATTGTGTACTTTTTCTAAACAAATGTCACAATCACATCTAACTGTTGGATGTAAAATGACAACTTGGGGTATGCCACAAAATTTGGAAAGTTGTATATTAAATTTTATACCAAGTCAACTCCACACTTCCAATAGCTCAATGTCATATGTAATTGGTAATGGTAAATTCGACCTCTTTATACCAAAAATAAATATTCGTTTATATATTTTTGGCTATCTCATGCATAGCGATTTCAAATATAAAAAAGGGTATGCCACTCTAGAAAGGAGAAGAAATGAAATTAGAGGCCATTAAAAAGGAGACCCGTTTTAAGGTAAATTAGGATTGAAAAGATGACAATTTGGTTATATTTTTTTCTAAAAAAATTCACCTTTTGATACTCTCCAAGGATTCTCATGCATATAAAATTTTTACATGTTCTAGGGTAATGTGTACATAAAATTTATATACGCTCAAAGAACAACAAGTGTCAAATCTTAATCAAACAACAAGAAACTAACAATAATATCTCTCTTTTTTGACATGAATAACAAAATTATCTTTATTTACTTCAACACATATTATAAAAAAGGAAAAAGCTAACAAACACTTGCAGCTATAATGAATAGCAATATTGGTGAAATCCAAGCTATTAGATCTTCATCTAGTGGTTCAAAATGCAGGCATATGTACTACAAAACTAGGGCCTACAAGAAAAAATATAAAACAAATATTTTCTAAAATATAAAATAACTAAAATATCCCAGAAAAATGATGGGGGTATTGATCATTTTAAATTCTTGAAAGTATTTTATTTACAGTTTTATGTGATGCACAATAGTATTATACCCAAAATTTCATCATAATCTGATTTATAGAAAAAATATTAAAGTTCAAATAGTTATATCTATTTTGAACCACCCGACGAAGATGTGACAACTGAGATTCCATCTATATTACTATTCATTATAGCTGCCAGTGTTTGGTAGCTTTAATATATAAAGAATGTGTCCTAGTTACCAAGACAGTAACCATGCCACATATGAGGAATAAACCATACCAAACCTACTACATTTTATTACATTAAGAACAGAAAAACCAAAATCCTTCACCCAATTGTTCTATGCTTATGCCAAAATACAACACATAATATGCAGCTAACCTATTTGTACACGTTGTTTTGCCAAAAAATCTACCTTTGAGTTTCTTTCTCTCTTTTGTTTTTTTTGAAAGAAGTTATCGAAGTTTTATTGCTGAAAAAAGGTTACAAGGAGGTTACATCACTGCTAACAACAATGGAATCCATAATTACTCCCTTCTTAGCTAGACTATCTACTAAGGCGTTAGCCTCCCTATAAACATGGTTAAAGGATAAGGTCAAATTAACCACCAAATCTTTTACCTAGCACCAAATCATCCTTAGCTCCCAATGTACTTGTTGTACTCCTTTACACCATCTAATCACATTATGCCAATCTCCTTCCACCATACATATGGCTCCCAAATTTTTTGATTTAAAAAGCTTTAAACCATGAAGTAAAGCAGTGAATTCAGCACAATTAACTGTAGCCACACCAATTAGACCTGCATAACAAAAAATAATTAACTCATTCCAATCTCTAACAACCACTCCAATACCTGTTGTTCCTAGATTACCAAAAGAGCTTCCATCAAAATTTAGTTTGAATAAACCTAAGGGACGAGATAACCATCGACTAACAGGTCTACACTGAGCACCATGGGAAAATACAATATTCGCAAGATTTAAAAGAATATTAATCTTCGTAATGCCCCTTTCTTCTTTAGTTACCGATAACCAACTCCAACAATTATGGATAATATTATTAAGAACCTTGGCAAAAGAATGAACTACTCCATCAACAGTTGTTCTATTCCATTCTTTCCAAATCTCCCATATAACTACATGCCTAATAATACTTCAAATTATGCTCCCCAATTTTGCTAACCCAGGACAGATCAATTGAGAGATAAATCCCAACAAATCTTGAGGAAAAACTACCCTTATCCGCAACAGATTTCGGAAAAACTCCCAAATTCTAGTCGCAAAGCAACAATGAATAAACAAGTGTGCAACCGACTCTGCATCCCTATTGCACATCAGACAGATGTTTGGAAGAATTTTACCTCATTTGATAAGATTATCACTTGTCAATATCCTATTTAACCATGTTAACCACATGAAACACTGGACCTTATGAGGTATATGCCATTCCAAACTTGAGCAATATGCGGCAGTGACCAATGCCATCTATCATGAAACAATAAAGCATAAATGGACATTACCGAAAATAACCCATCATGTTCAATGTCCCAAGCCAGCAATTCCTCTGCATTGTGAGTAATGTACATGCCCTCTAATAGACCCATAAGAGCATTCACTTCCGAGAAAACATTCTCATTTATTCTATTATACGAAAGTTGTATATTCGAAACAGTTTTACCTCTGACTATTTCATAATTTTGAGCCACTGTAGCATGTGGATTGACTACCTTCTCAAACAGATTAGGGAACTTCTATTTTAAAGGCCACTCCCCTGCCCATTTATGATGTCAAAAGGAGACCTATGAACCCTTCCTAGATCTCCATCTATTCTTTCCAAAAAAAAGATTTAGAGGAACTATTTCTTCCTCCACGGATCCATAATCAATACCCATCAACCCCATATTTAGCTTGAAGAATCTTACACCACAACTGATCTTTAACAAGCAGAATACGCCACCACCATTTACTCAATAAAGCCTCATTCATCAAAGAAAGCTTTCTAATCCCTAGCCCACCGTCTCCTTTTGGAGTGCACACTCTATCCTACTTTGTGAGATGATATTGTTTATCATCCTCAAAAGATCCCCACATAAAAACTCTCATCAACTTTTCAATTTTTTTTGCAACTCCGTTTGGCATTTTAATAAGAAATATTTGGTAAATAGGCATATTTATTTTAATAAAATTACTCTTCCCCCCAAAGATAAATATTTTGGTTTCTATAAATCAAGTTTAAATTGGGCACAGTGAATCACCCTATCCCACACCGACATAATCAGATGAGTGTCAGATATGGGAAGACCCAAATAAGTAACATGGAATCTGTCAACTTTACATTTAAGGGTCTTAGTCAAATCCTTCACCACACTCTTATCACAATTAACACCTATCAAAGATGTTTTTTCTCAATTTACCTTTAGGCCTATCATCAATTCACAACAATCCATAAAGGTTCCAATATTATGTATTTCACAACAATCCAGAAAGGTTCCCAATTTACCTTTGAGTTTCTTTCTCTTTACACGTGAACAAAATCATCTCCCTATATCAATCTTTTATCTCAAATGACAAGTAAGAAACCAGCAACAATCTCACATGTTCATTATTGACAACTTACTTCCATCTATTTGATCGTATATTTAATTGATCAAGCGGTTATGACTATCCCAGGTATCATATACTCAATTAGAAAAAGTTTATATAAGGTTGGCACCTTAAAATTTAGAATTAGTATGCGCCTTTAACTATGAGCCACACTATTAAGCTGTGGAGAGAGTGAATGAGCAACAATTGTTGAGCACTTTAAGGGTCTACACCACCAAGTGGTGTAGCCTAACAAAACCCATATA